TGAGACATCCTCACTCAATCTGCTTTGAATGTCCAGGATGTTGGGCATGAAAACGAGCAAACCGCCTGAGACATCCCCGCAAACTGGCCGCGAACGGGCACATGAAAACACCCCTGGCGGCTCCCCTTAGGAGTGCTGAAACCAGCGCCCCGCCGGAGACATCCTCACAATCTGTTTTGAAAGCAAAGGATGTTGGGCATGAAAACGAGCAAACCGCTTGAGACATCCCCACACATTGGCCACGAACGGGCCCGTGAAAACACCCCTGGCGGCTCCCCTTAGGGGTGCTGAAACCAGCGCCCCGCCTGAGACAGCCTCAAAAGCTGATTTGAAAGCCAAGGATGTTGGACATGAGAACGAGCAAACCGCTTAATACATCCCCACAAACTGGCCACGAACGGGCCCGTGAAAACACCCCTGGCGGCTCCCCTTAGGTGTACTGAAACCAGCGCCCCGCCTGAGACATCCTCACAATCTGTTCTGAAAACAGTGATGTTGGGCATGAAAACGAGCAAACCGCTTGAGACATCCCAACAAACTGGCCGCGAACGGGCCCATGAAAACACCACTAGCGGTTCCCCTTAGGGGTGTTGAAACCAGCGCCCCGCCTGAGACATCCTCAAAATCTGCTCTGAAAGCCAAGGATGTTGGGCATGAGAACGAGCAAACCGCTTGAGACATCCCCACACATTGGCCACGAACGGGCCCGTGAAACCACCCCTTGCGGCTCCCCTTAGGGGTGCTGAAACCAGCGCCCCGCCTGAGACATCTTCACAATCTGCTTTGAAAACAAAGGATGTTGGGCATGAGGACGAGCAAGCCGCCTGAGACATCCCTACAAACTGGCCGCGAACGGGCCCGTGAGAACACCCCTGGCGGCTCCCCTTGCGAGTTTGAGTATGACTAGGTCTGAGTATGAGTAGGTCTCAGTCCGTGCGTTGAGTAACTCAGACTAGGAGAAGGTCTGAGTATGTGTAGGTCTGAGTATGAGTAAGTCTGTGTATGAGCAGGTCTGGGAACGAGTCTGGGTATGAGTAAGTCTGGGTATGAAGGAGTCCCAGCATGAGTAAGTCTGAGTATGAGTAGGCCTGCATGTTGTGTGTTGAGTAAGTCAGACCATGAGAAGGTATGAGTAAGAGCAGGTCTGAGTATGAGGAAGTCTGTGTATGAGCAGGTGTGTTCTCTCTGGCTCTCTGGAGTCGGCGGCGTCCGAGCAATAGCAAGAACCTCATCTTGTGATTTTTGTTCAAAAATAAAAAACCTCATCTTAGAATATGGGGAACAGCGTTCACACCTCGGGGGGGGGCCACGTCGTGGGAGAAAACAAAAAAACATCAGGACGCCGGCACCTGGGGCGCCCAGGCTGGCCCCTGGCAGGCCGGCCCCTCCGTGGCGCCCCCCCCTCGCCTGTCCTTCCAGGGCGCGGGCAGGCGGCCGAACGGGGAGGGGTCTCGACGAGGGCGGGGGGTGTCTTCACGGCGGGGGGGGGCTCGCCACGGCAGGGGTCGACGGGGCCACGCCCGCGGAGAGGAGGACGGGAGGAGGGACCCAGACCCTCTCGAGCGGTGAAAAACTCACGACGAGAGGTTGTTCGCCATCCTCGGCCTCGGGGGGCCCTTGCTGGGCCTCGGGGCCGCCGTCAAGAGACGACTCGGGATGAGAAACTTGTCCCAGGGAAGGGTTCGAGACCTTTGGGGTCGACATTACGAAAAAATCATGACGATGGGGGTCTGGGGAGGGAGAAGAGGAGTGTCCAGGCCTTCCGAACAGGGACCGAGCGGATTGGGGGTCGTACTCAGGATCGCGCCGCATCGCCGACGAATTGGTGATGCGGCGCGAGCCTCCGACCCCATCCATTCAGACTCTATTGGAGATGGAGAGGCCTTGCGGCCAGTTGCCGCCGACCCTGAACGACGACGACGCGAGTCTCCGACCCCATCCACTTTGACCCTATGTGGGCGGCCCCTTGATCGGGAGCGAGGATGGGGGAGGATCAGGAAGGCCGCGGCGAAGGGAGGATGAGGAGGGGTACCGCTTGACGAGCGAGGGATTCGAAGCTCGAGCGGAGACTGGCTTTGCGGGCCCGTGCCCTGGATATTGGGGCGATGGAGGAGGGGAAGCGGACTGATCAGGTGGAGGAGGGGGAGGGCAGGAGGAGGAGGAGGAGGAGGAGGAGGAGGAGGAGGAAGAGGAGGAGGAGGAGGGGGAGGGGGAGGAGGAGGAGGAGGAGGGGAGGGGGAGGAGGAGGGGGGAGGAGGAGGAGGGGAGGAGGAGGAGGAGGAGGAGGAGAAGGAGGAGGAGGAGCAGGAGGAGGAGGAGGAGCAGGAGGAGGAGGAGGAGAAGGAGCAGGAGGAGGAGGAGGAGGAGGAGGAGGACCATCACATGGCTAATGAGGGGAGGCTAAGGGTTGGCCGACCCGACCCTAACCCAAAGCCTCGTGGCACGGGGCCACCGATGTTCTCTACATCGGCCGCGGATGAACCACGTGGCCGCTGAGACGGCAGGACGAGAAGGGGGAGGGGGAGGGGAGGAGTGCGGGAGGAGGAGGGATGAGGACGAGGAAGCCGCGGAGGATGAGGAGGGCAGGCAAGCTTGAGGTTGAGGGGCCCTCGTCGTGTGGTCATAGCCTGCAACGAAGCGACCAGGTCGGCGCGGGCGCGCATTGGCATCCCGAGGGGTTGCGGTGGCACCGTGGAGGTACCCAACCCGTTGAAGTTTTGCAGAAAGGTTCTGCATGCGGTACCCGCCGCGAGCGAGTCCAGGATGGGGCGTTCTTGGCAGCCCGAGGCATTGCGGCAGCACCATGGAGGTACCGTGCATGTTAAAGCTTGCAGAGATGTCTGCATGCTGGGGGTCGTTGCACGCTGTGAGAGAGCGCAGCGCACGGGCCTACCATTCAATAGCGCCGACGCCCGCAAGAAGCGAAAGGAAAGCGCGGCGTGTGCCAAGAACATGGCACAGTCCTTCGATGTTTTCCTGCTCCACAGGCGCTCGTCTATCAGATCCAAGGCCTGTATGGCTCTGGTCGGCACAGAGCCGGCAGTTTGCTGCTGCTGACCCAGTATTCCGACGATGTGGTGCGGGCGGTGACAGACATGAAGGGCCGGGTGGAGGTGAAGTCCGAGGTCTCCGACGTGAGGACCAAGGCGAATGAACCGAAGAATCAAGTGGAGTCAGGTGTCCAGCTCGATTCGGCGAGCCAAGGGCGAGCCTGACGGGAGCAGTCTGTGGCATTCACGCCGGAAGACTGAGGCGCCCAGCATGAGAATCGAGACGAGCCCAACGTGAAGTATTACATGGAGCCAGCTGCGAAGGACGTGCAGGTGCTCGTGAATCTAGGTGCAAATCTCCTCGCCGACCAGGCTTGCGCCCCGAGCACTGAGCGCCCGCTTAGTGGGGCACTTCTTCCAGCTCGCAGCTGCGGGTGCTCCGCCGCGCGCTTCCGTCAGCTTCGGATGACGCGTCCGCTGCCACAGAGACTTGACTGAGGGGGGGGTCGCGTGATTCGGTAGCAAATCATGGGAGCCGTGCATGTCCTTGCAATTCCGTCATTCGAGCGCGTTAGCGTGTGATGGCGCCTGGTGGTCGATGAGAACGTGCCGAACTAGAGTTGAGCTAGCGACGATTTAGCGCCGACTAGCGTCGATGAGCGTCGATTGGCGTCGGGCAGCGTCGATTCGCTTGAGCCAGCAGAGCTGGTATGGGAGACTCCCATGAGCTGGCGCCGAAAAGTCGGCGAGAGCAGGGCGTGCGACTGCCAGCTCTGCCACGTGCACCAGGAGGTGATGACGCCGAGTGGGAGGCCTTGCGTGCGCAAGCCCCCGCCCTGTCAAGCGAGGGCACCGCCCTTCGCCTGGCCACGCGGCGTGTAGGGAGCCGCGCACGAAGACCGTGCAGTGCAGGGGCTGCGCGAACAGCAGGGCCAGGCTGGAAGAGCTCGAGCTCGGGGCGCAGGCCGGCACCCATGCGCCGGGACCTGCGAGCCACTGTGAGTTAGCCACTTGGGCAGAAGGCCACATGCCAGCGGAGGAGGAGGAGGAGGAAGAGGAAGAGGAGGAGGACGAGGAGGAGGAGGAGGACGAGGAGGAGGAGGAGGAGGAGGAGGAGGAGGAGGGGGACGCCCGAAATGGGTACGGAAGGAATGGGTACAATGCCCAACAGAAGTTCCTGTTCATTTTGAGCAGGGCTCGCTGTCGGCGCCGCCGCGGCCTGTGTACATTTGAGACAGGGGGCCGCCTGCCCAACAGCGGCCGCTGCTGGTTTGGGGCAACATTTGCTGTTGGGCATCGTACCCATTTGTTCGGTACCCATGTCGGACGTCCAAAACTTGGGCAGAAGGCCACATGCCAGCGAACTGCACAGGGGAGAGCGAGTCGCCGAACTCCCTTTCGGCGTCGAGCAAGGGGGGGGGAGGGGGGGGGAGCTGAGAAGGAGAGGGCCTTCTTGGAGGGCGGCAGGGCTTCTCAGAAGCGCTCCGGCCTTCAGTGGAGTTTCCTGCGTCTTCGGGGAGGGCTTAGGACATTTTCTCAGAAGGCCCGGGCACTTCCGAGCCTTGGGGGTCGACGTAATGAAAAGATCATTACGTCGGGGGTCTGAGGAGGAGGAGCAGGAGGGGGAGGAGCTCAGCTCCTGGGGCGCGGTCTATTCACGCGAAGGCGGGCGTCAGCAGCTACGTCTGGGGGTGGAGGAGGAGGATTGGACTGGACCTAAATCCGGTGCCAGTTCACATCTGGACATATTGAATCGTCGAAGTGTACCTTTCGCGATTGAGGACGATTGTCGAAACTGGCACTCCTGGGCGATTGGGGCCAGACGCGGCAATTGCTCAGATCAGCCCTCGCGGACAGTGGCGTGCTGCGGCGAGCTCGGGCGTCAAGTCTCCAGAGCAGGAGTGCGGCATGCGAGGAGGAGCAGGAGGAGGACCGGCTCAGCAGCAGGAAACGAGGAGGAGGAGGAGGAGGAGGAGAACCAGGGAGGGCCCACCCCTGGCCGCGTGGGAGAGCGGCAACTCCAAGAGCGCCAGCGAGGACACCATGGAGAGGGTGCGCCTGGCCCTGGAGGCGCCGGCGGTGGCCTTTGGAGCAGAGAGCGGAGGGGGTCAGCGGCAGGGGGGGGGAGGTCTGGCCCGACAAGGGTGGTGGCATGTCCCGCCTGCGTCGGAGAAAGAGAGGCATAACCATCAAATTTTGGGAGCTCCGCGCGGACTTGATGGACCGGCGCCGGTCCTATGGCGCCGCCCCTGGCTCCGCGCGCCAGGGAGGCCGGGAGGGGGGTCCAGCGCAGATCCACGAAATCTGCGCGGAGTCCCGAACGTTCACGTTCATGCTGTGCTTCGTTCGTTTTTTGTGTGCATCATGCGCTGGCCACCGCACGTGAGCTTCAGCAGCTGTGCCGCTATGTGTGCGGGCATTCCTGGCGGCCAGGCGCTCGGAGTTGCCCGCGCTGAAGGCTCAGAAGAAAAAGCTGGCACCGTGTTGCACACCGCATGGCGGGCCACGCTCTTCTCGGCGGCAAGCGAGGGGGGGGAAGTGAGAAGGAGAAGGCCCTCGCAGTAGGCGGCGGGGCTTCTCAGAAGCCCTCTGGCCTTCTAAGAGCTTTCTTGTGTTTTCGGTGAAGCTCGGGGCGTGACCCGTCCCCCTGAGCGGCTCGCTGCTTCGGCCCCCTCTTTCGGCCGCGTCCTCCTCCTGCCCCCACCCTTTTGCATGGTGGCACAATTTGCCCCAACGGCTCCCCGTTTAGGCCTTTCGACCAGCGCAGACTTCCCTTGCCTCGCCGCCGGCGCAAAAAATCAGGAGGGAAAGAAACACACAGACACAAATAATCGTCGACTCCCAGGAAAATATGGGAAAATATGGGAGGGGGGGGGAGACATAAACCCGGAAAATATAGGAAAACATGGGGAATCCTGTTATGTGTGTGTATTTGTTTGCGTGCCCCTGGGCCCCTTTCAAACAGGTGTTTTCGGAGAGGGATGCGAGGACTTCTCAGAAGGCCAGGGGACCTCCGAGCCTCCCGAGAGGGCGCGCCACTGCTCGGGGCCGCCGAACTCCGCCCGGGGCAGGACCATGAGCCAGGAGGCCCTCTCTCGGAAGGCGGCGGGGCTTCTCAGAAGCCCCCCGCCCCTTCCTACAGATCCGACGCCCCCCAAAAATTGGAGCGGCCAGCTCTGGGCTGTTTTCGGCCTCCGGGGGCCCTCGCTGGGCCCCGGGGCCGTCAGAGAACGATCCGGGACGAGAAACCGGCCCCGGCGAATTGGTCCAGACCTCCGCGGCACACGCATCGAACAAAGTTGGAGCGGCCGGAGGTCTGTTTTCTGTGTTTTGTCGGGAAGGTTCACCAAACTGTTCAGAAGGCCAGGAACTTCGGCCACGCGCAGTGGCGGGTAGGGGGAGGGGGGAAGGCTTCTTAGAAGCACCCCTGCGTCTAAGAAAGCGCGGGCCCTGCCTATAGATGTAAGGCCCGCGCCTTAGAAGCAGGGGTGCGTCTAAGAAGCCGTTCTCCCCCCTCCCCCTGCCCCCTTGCGCGCGCCGCTGAGGACTCCCGAGCCTTCTGAGAAGGCTCGCCGCCCCCTCGCCCGGCGGGCCGCCAAACTTCACCTGGGAGAGGAGGAGGAGGAGGAGGAGGAAGAGGAGGAGGACGAGGAGGAGGACGAGGAGGAGGACCAGGAGGAGGACGAGAAGGAGGAGGAGGAGGAGGAGGAGGAGGTGGACGGGGAGGAGGAGAGGAGGAGGAGGAGGAGGAGGAGGAGGAGGAGGCCCGAAATTGGTACATACAGAAAGAATTCGCACACTGCCCAACAGCAGTTCCTGTTCATTTTGAACAGGACTCGCTGTCCACGCCGCCGCGGCCTGTGTCCATTCGAGACAGAAGGCCGCCTGCCCAACAACGGCCGCTGTTGGTTTGGGACACCATTTGTTGTTGGGCAGTGTACCATTCTTTCCGTACCCATTTCGGGCGTCCAAAGAGGAGGAGGAGGAGGAGGAGGAGGAGGGAGGAGGAGGAGGAGGACGCCCGAACTGGGTACGGAAAGAAGGGGCACAAGTCCCAACAGCAATTCCTGTTCATTTTGAACAGGACTCGCTGTCCACGCCGCCGCGGCCTGTGTCCATTCGAGACAGAAGGCCGCCTGCCCAACAACGGCCGCTGTTGGTTTGGGACACCATTTGTTGTTGGGCATGGGAACCCATTCTTTCCGTACCCATTTCGGGCGTCCAAAGAGGTGGTAGAGGAGGTGGAGGAGGAGGAGGAGGAGGAGGAGGACGAGGAGGAGGAGGAGGAGGAGGAGGAGGTTGGAGGAGGAGGGGGAGGAGGAGGAGGAGGAGGAGGGGGAGGGCAGCGAGCACACCTCGCCGAGGGCCAGGCGCGGCCGCCTGCTTGCACCCAGGGGCTCCCACTGCGCTTTGTCGAGGTACGGTCGGACCGAGGTGTGCGGAGGCTCATCATCATCATTATCATCATCATCATCATCATCATCATCATCATCATCATCATCATCATCATCATCATCATCATCAGCAGCAGCATCCTCATCATCATCATCAGCATCCTCCTCCTCCTCATCATCAGCAGCAGCATCATCATCAGTAGCAGCAGCAGCAGCAGCATCATCAGCATCAACATCAGCATCATCATCGGGGGGTTCTGAGAGGGAGCCCTGGTGTGATTCGTGCTTGTTGGATGTCCTTGTGCATTCTGGGGAGGGTACCCTCGGCTGTTCTGTGTTTCTGTTGCCGGCGGGGGGTCTCGTGCTCTTGGGGGATGTTCTTCTGGCCCAGGTCCGGCCGTGCCCCCCAAAGAGAGTTTTTGCACCTAGGGGCTCCCGCTTCGCTCTCTCGAGGCACTGGGTCGGTTGCTCCAGGTTCCCGCCACGTTGCCGCCCGTGACGCCTCGGGGGCGCTACGCGCGCTGGGGGGGGGGGAGGGGGCGAGGCTGCGCCACGTTGCCGCCCGTGCCGCCGCCCTGCTGCCTCGCGCCGCCCGCCCCAGAGATCCGAAGAGACGTGCGGCGCTCCAGAAGAGGGCGCCCGTCTCCGAGGACCGCGGGAGCTGCCATCTCCTCCTCGGCGGGAGGTCGGCGGACGTGGGACGAGGACGCCGCCGCCGGCGGAGGGCCGGCGGGGCTTCGGCGGGGGCCGGCGGGGGCAAAGGCCCACCCTCCAAGGGGTGACAACACTTTTTGGGGGTGCAGGGCTTCTGGAGCCCGCCATGTGTGCGTTTGTGTGTTCCCTAGCTAGGCTCTGCCTAGAAGGGTTCTTACTCGGTATGCTTTCATCTTAGCTTAAGCTAGCTTACCTTCATGTTACTACTAATGCTGCTTTCCTGGGGGCTCCAACTCCTAGGTAGGGTCGCACTGGGATAATTGTGTACTCGATGTCGTCCTCTGGGGCCCGCGGTCGGGCACGGGGACCAAACAGCGATCGGGGGCGAGGTGTTGGCCCCCGGGGGGTCGGGTCCTTCTGGGGCCGCGGACCGAAACAGACATACCGTCGGGGCCCTGAAGAAGGAACCCTTTTCGTTGGGGAGGGGCTTCGCGTTCCTTAAGTGTTTCACAGCTTGCCTCAGGTTTTCCTCATGTTTTCGATCGCAAATCGAAGTTTAACTGATGGAAAAAAGGGGCCTCGTTCCTTATTTAGGGTTCCTTAGGTCAACGCCCCGACTGTATCTTCGGATGTCTGGGCTTGTGCAGAGGAGGAACAGATGCCGATACCGCTACCCGTCCCTCGTCGCCATGGCTGAGTTCTCCCCGGGATCCTGGTCAGCAACCGCCCCCCGAGCAGCGGCATCGGCACCTCTCTGTTCCACCGTCCGTGCTCGAGCTGGCTGCCTTGCTCCCTATCTGGGCTGGGCTTTTCGGGCTGGGGTTGAAGCAGGGCTGGGAGCGCTGGCTGGAGGCGCCGGCCAGGCCGGCGGCTGTCGTTGCTGCGTTCAGTATCCGACCCCTATCCCCATCCCCATCCAGACCCCCACCATCACACCACCCCAATTGGGAGTATATGATCCCGGGCCAGCGGGCCAACGGGCCCCACCCCCAGATGGGATGGGTATCAGGGTCCCTCGGGCCCCCCTCCCCTGATAGAATGGGGGGGACGACGACGACGACGACGACGACGACGACGACGACGACGACGACGACGACGACGGATAGCGGCGCAATGGGACAGACAAGTCCCCTCGAAGATGCAACGATTTTTTGTTTCATACACCATTCAGCTTCTCGAACAATAGAGAACTCTTCCTGAGCAGAAGTTGTCCGAGGTCCGCGCGGGATCCTTGGGCCGGCGTTGGTCCAGCGGCGACTCAAGACATCGAGCCGGACCTCCGAAAACCAAATTATGTTTGTTCACCGAGCGTGTTCCACTGCTCGCAAAGTGCCTAGTCGCAAAAATGACGGAACAAAAACACATGTCTGCATCGATGTGATGCACCGTAAAGCCCCCATGGCGGATCCAGGCCAGTTGCGAGCTCTTATTTTGCGAGTAGTGGAACGCGCTTGTCTGTGTGTGGTGTTTTCTCTATTCCTCTGTTGGGGTAACGCTCTCTGTCGCTGTTGCTGCAGGCGGAGAACTACGTCTTCTGCCCGCTGGACCCGGTGACACCCCGGAGGGCCGCGGCCGCCAGGGCCGCCGCCACTCTCCCCCCATCTTCGCGTCTCCTTCGGGAGGGGAAAAAACACACAGACACAGTGAATCGTCGACTTTTAGAGTGGGGGGAAGACGAAAACCCAGAAGCGATGGGAAACATGGAGAATCCTATTTCTTTGTGTGGCTCTTAGTCCGTCAGAGAGCTTGGTGGGAGAGGCCATTGGGCCCGCGGAGGTGAGGGACCACAAACGTTTCACAATCCAGGTTGATCAAGCGCAACCCACTCTTGTGGCTGACACCTTAAAATCAGGAATCCAGTGCGCCCATGAGATGGCTCTAGTTTCTGCATTCGGACCCCCCCAGGACACAGGGCCACCTTAGATTTGCTCGTTGATTGATTGGGGCCAGAGGCCGGGAATCCAGGTTTTAGCATGCCAAGTTGTTGATTCAGTGACGCGGCTGCCACGGAGTGTGGACCGTTGCAGCAGGGCGATCCGCTGGATGCTCGACGCATGGGCTGTGCGAGTCGAGTGCGGAACGGCCGACGCACTCCACCACATAGTGCCCGAGTATGGGGAAAAGGTGGTCCAGGCCCGGCAGGAGGCCGAGGTCCTGCCCGAGCATATAGCATTAGCTACGGGCGCAAAAAACGCCCCTAGCCTGGTTTACGAGGCGCTGTGCGCTGTGCGCTGAACCTCCTGTGGGCTGACAGGGTAAACCCTGCGTGATGTGCCGCGTCCTGGCGGCTCTAGGCTTTGGGGATTCCCAGGAGGTTTACAGACCACGCACTTGCAACCCAGGGTAGGGTCGTTTTTCATCCCTCAAATGGAGCCGTAGTCAGTTTCCTCATAGCTCATCCTCATTAGCATCAGCTATCCTCATAGCGATTTAGCTATTTCCTCTTAGCTACTTAGCGTTCGCATTAGCTCATTCTCATATCCAGTTGCCGAAGCCATCCACGCCTTCCAGCGCCGGACTGTTTGGCGTGAAAGGCGGCCCGCAAGAGATAGACCCAGAGAAGATAGCCCGGCGTTCGAGCGAACCGGTTCTCAGGCTTGTGCCCGGCGGTTCTTGCACCATCGGAGGGAGGAGAAGCGATACCAACACCACCAGGGGGCCCACCGCCAGCGAGGAGGTTTACGATGCCTCTTCGAGCTGGAGGCTGGGGATGTCTCGAGCGAGAGGGGGGACCACACCACCAGGGAGTTTCCCTTTGCCTCCTCGCATCTCCTCGCCCTGTTGGTGTTGGTGTCGCTTTTCCTTGTTCCGACACCAAGCCCCCAGTTGGAGACCATTTCTTTATTGCTTGGGGCATGACGGGCGTCATGGCCTCCGCCCCCCCTGCCCCACCCCCCCATGACGTAATGCTCCCCCCCCAGTGCGCTCCGGGCACTGCCGCTGTGCGTATTGGAATCCGCGTAGGTGTCCGCGTAGGAGTCCGCATAAGAGTCTGGTCCGCAGTGGTCGTCGTCGTCGTCGGCGTCGTCGCTCGTGGCTCGTCGCTCGTCGCTCGTCGCTCATCGTCATCGTGCGCGCGGACGCGGCTGGAGCCTGTTTTTTCATTCCGGGCCGATGACGGCAATCATCTGGGGGGGGTGGAGGGGGTCGATGACGCCACGCTTCGCGCCGGCGGCGCATGGGAATGCTTAGGAATGACGGAGGACGGGTGGCACCAGCATGTAGGTGGCGATCTGCACCACAACGCGTGTGCACACCTCAGTGCCTGAGTGGAGTGCACCACAGCGCTTGTGTACACCACACCGCCTTTGTACACCACAGCAGCCGCGTGCAACACAGTGTCAGTTTGTGCCACCGCGCGCGCGGGCGCAACAGCTCTTGTGTACACCACAGCGCCTGCGTACACCGCATCCGCCGTGTGAAACACAGCAGTGTACACCACAATGCCTGCGTGCATTGCAGTGCCTGTGTACACCACGGCGCTTGTGTGCACCACAGCAACCGTGTGCAACACAGCACCAATGTTGTATGTAGAATGCTTGAAGGAATCATTGTGACAAAATGGAGCGTTTGTGGATTCCACCGAAAAAAGCATAAGATAATCCTTATGGACAAGGGAGCGCCAAGGGAATCTACGACTGAGTCCTTCCGAGTTCGCCCGCACCACCGTAACTCCTCCCATCTGTGTCCACAAGGCTCCAGCTAAATTGGCCGTCCGAGAACCAAGTGGGCCGATTCAATAGAACATTCTGCGGTGCACGCTGAATTGCGCACGTGTGCTGCAGCGCCAACCCGCACGACAGGGGGCAAGGAGGAGGATTAGGAGGAGGATTAGGAGGAGGAGGAGGAGGAGGAGGAGGAGGAGGAGGAGGAAGAAGAGAAAAAGGAGGAGGAGGAGGAGGAGGAAGAGAAAAAGGAGGAGGAGGAGGAGGAGGAGGAGGAGGAGGAGGGGGAGGAGGAGGAGGAGGAGGAGGAGGTGGAAGTGGAAGAGAAGGGAAGAGGGAAAAACGTCGCATCCTACTATCAGCACATTCCTGGCGTGGCGCTTCCGCAGCAGATCCTCACGTACAGGCTCCTTCTACCTGTCCTATGCACGCAGGCAGCGGGGTGTACAATAGCGCTGCGTTGCACGCAGGTGCTGTGGTGTAGACAGGCGCTGTGGCGTGCACAGGCGCCGCGGTGCACGCAAGCATTGTGGTGTACACAGGCGCTGCGTTGCACATGGTTGCTTCCGGTGTGCACATGTACACCGGCGTTGTAGTGTACGCTAGCACTACAATGTACACAGGCGGTGCGTTGCACACGGTTGTTGCGATATACGCAGGTGTTGTGGTGTACACGCGCGCTGTGGTGCACGCGAGCGTTGTGGTGTACACAAGCGCAGGGGGGCAGATCGCCACCTACATGCTACTCGCGTCGTCGTTGCCGCTTGTCGCTTGTCGCTTGTCGCTCGTCGCGTCGTGCGCGCGGGCGCGGCTGTGGTGCCGGAGCCACACGGCGTGGGTGGGTGGGGGGGGGGGGGGCGTTACGTCATACCCCCCCCCGCCCCCCCCCCTCCCATGACGCCCGTCATCGCCGAACACAAAGAAACGCTCTCTTGCGCGTTCTGCCGAAAGCATCTTGGGCCACAGGGATGCTGCTAGCGACAGGCCAGGCGCCCGAGTCTGTGGCCGCCATGCCGGGAGTTGGGCACGGCTCAGGAAGGAAAAAAAATCACGGACACAATTAATCGTCGATTTCCCAGAAAGTATGGGAGAACATGGGAAGTGGGGTGGAAGACGTAAACCCCAAAAAATATTGGAAAATATGGGGAATCCTTTTTTTTGTGCATTTATTTGTGTGTCCCAGGGCCCCTTCCAGGTTGGCGTTGCGCTGTGCGGCCAAGTGGCCAGCCGCCCCTCGAAAGTGGGGGCTGGTTGCACGTCCGCGATACAAGTTACACCGGGAAGTGTGCAGCAGCAGTTGGCCGCCAGCTCCAAGTTTGCGGCCATTCGATTATTTGCCCACTACTCCTGCAGGCCTTGGGTTCGTCCAGGAGGCTCGGCACATTGGGGACTATCGTTCCCAGGAGATGATCGATGCCCTGCCTCACTACTGAGGGAGAGAGAGAGAGAGAGAGAGCTTGATGTTGCAAATTCTGTTGTCGATCACAATGCCCAGCAAGCCCTCACCCATCATCTTAGATGTGCGGACCTACAGCTAATGTTTTGTTTCTCGGGTTGCGGCCGAGCGAGCCAAGAATTTCTGCAACCTTGTTGCTGCCATCCTGCCGCTGTCTTAAAATTAAATCAGGTGGCCGCGCCTGTCCCGACCTGCCCGTGGCAGGTCTTCCAGGCTCAGGTTAGACTGGCACAAGTGCGAGGACGGGCCAGGAGGTTCCCAGAGCCAACAGATGTTTGCAGCTCGGAGGGCTTGGCATCGCTCGGACTTGTGCATTTTTCCTTCGGCGAGGACAATCGAGGAGCATCCTCGACCATTTGGCGAAAAAGCCACGCACGAAACCGAAAAAAAAACAGGAAATGGACGTCCGAGCGATGGCCAGAGGGGGTGGTCTGAATCAGGCAGACATGCAAGGCTGCCGTGGTGCATCCTGCTTCGCAGGAGAGCCTCTCGGGGACCCCCAGGGGGACATCTCGTCGCTGCGGCGGGCACGGCCCGAGGAACTGCGCCTCGGCGGTGTGGACGGTATGATCCTTGAGTGGCAGGGCGGTGTGTGTTGGAATTGTGGGGGCTGGTCCTCAGTGGGCCCTGGAAACGACAGGGCCGTTTTTGTTACCAGTTCCGTTTTGCCGTTTTTGTTGCCGGTTCCGACGCCGTTGTTCTACCGGTTCCGTCGCCGTTTTTGACCGGCTCCGGCCCCGGTTCCATTTCTGGAGCCGTTTTTTCGCCGTTTCCGGTCGCCGTTTTTTTGCCGTTTCCATTTTCAAGGGACGCTTTTTCGAAAACGGTGAAAAAACGGCCCTGCCGTTTCCGGGGCCCACTAAGGGCTGGTCCCAGCGCAGACTAATTCTAGGCGCCTCGCTTAACCCCTATGGGCCCATCCAGAAACGATGTCCAGGCGAGTTGCCCTGATCAGGGATATGGAGGAGCGCACAGCGGACTCATCGGCTGGGCAAGACGTCGTACCCCAAGAGAGGGAGGATGGGGGAGGAGAAAGAGGCGAAGGAGGAGGGAGAAAGGGAGGAAAAAGGGGAGGAGGAATAAGGAGGAATAGGCGGATGAGGAAGAGGAGGAAGAGGAGGAGAAGGAGGAGGAGGAAGAGGATGATGGCGAGCAGAAATGCTAGAGGCATCTTTGATGCCTTCCGGAGTCTCTTAGGACATTTCTGGAGGCTTCTTAGGGCGTCTTCGGGGTCTCTTGGAGGCCTCTGAAGGCGGCGCGGGTGCCTCAGCGGGGCCCCTCGCGGGTCTTTTGGGGGCATTCGGGGGGCATCTCGGGGGTTTCTTGGTGGCCTCTTGGGGCCATCTCGGGCCATCTGGGAGATGATCGATCACAGTGGGAGGTTCCAAGTGAGCCTCCCCATGAGGAGGCCGACATGTTGCCAAAACTTGTCATGTAAAATCACGGATGTTAGTTGTCTCGTTGGGACCACAAAACAGTTTTTGACACCCCTCCAGACCCAGGGGAAATGGTTACGGGGAGGGACAAGACACCCTCCCCGGCCGCAAGCCGCCTCGTTCACTCCGACCCGCCCTCCCAACACATAGGGAGCGCCTGAGCCGCAGCATGCTCAGCGATCGTCTTGGATGGACAGCTATCTGGAACCAAAGCAGACTTCCTGTGCGCAACGCTGGGGCGAGTTCCGCCACGCGTGCCACGCGCGCCAGGTGCGCCACGCGCTCCTTTGGCCCAAGCGTGCCAAGCCCGCTTGGTGCGCCAGATGCGCCACGTGATCCACGTGCGCCATCTGTACCGCATGATCCAGCCGAGCCATGTGCGCCACGTTCGGGGCATGCGCAGAGTGTGCCAGGTGCGCCCGCGTACGTGGCAGTGCACATCGGGAAATGTATATCGGCCCCGACCACCCCTGTCGAAAACCGGTGTGCAATCGCGGCACGGTGGCCATCATAGTGTCCAATGGGCTTGCACAAAGCAGGCAATATGCCAGACCCCCGCCGTCCCAGTAAAAAGCCGATGCACAGTGACCGCGGGGTGCCCGCGCATGATCCAGATGTTGTTTCGAAGTGCAGTGCGTATTGGTTTGTTGACATGGATGTTGGCCCTGAGAGCAGCAGGCAATATGCTGGTACCCCCGCCGCCCCTGACAAAAACGCGGCTCCTTTGATTATGACACAAGATTTTGCCCCAAAGCGGACTCCACATTGTTTTTGGACAGGGATTACGGAGGGGGTCAGCATTGGTCCCAGTTGGCTGCCCGTCGTTTGGGGGACGGGGTGTTCATTAGTAGGGAACAGTGATCAGTGATCAAAACCTTCTCCGATGGAAATGGGAAGGGTTGGAAGAGGAAGCGCTCTACTCGCGCCCTAAAAGGCTGGTGGGATTAAGTTAGCTACCCCCGGCGTGCCCCCCACCAAGAAGGGTCAGGAAGTGTCGAACCGTTTTCGTCGGGGTAAGCCGCGCAATCGTAAGTGGCAGGCGTTCGTCGGCCAGGCTGTCCCCTTCGCTCGTTCCGCCTCGCGTCGCCGTATGGTGGGAAATACGCCCCAGAGCGCTGGCGCCCGCGTTTCCGACTCAACGGCGGCGTGCATTACATTTTTGGCCATAGGGCAGCTCCCTCTCATGAGCAGCGAGCGGTGATGCGAATGTAGAGAATACGTATCAGAGAGGCGCCCAAGCGAGGCCAGTAAGTCTAGCATTTGAGCTAGATGCTTAACGTTGTACGTTCTTGCCCTCTGGGCATTCCGTTCCGTTCCGCACCCCCCTTTCAAGCATCCACCCCCTTTTCATATTTGTCCTTCCCCGTGCCCCTCTATCCCATGCCTCTCCCCTCTCCCCCCCACCTTCCCGCCGCCCTTCTCCCGCTCTCCCCCTGCACCCCTCCGCCCCCTTGCCCCACTTTTCGCATCCCCCCTCCCCCCTCTTCCCCGCCCCCCCGCGTTCCTCCGCCCCCCTGCCTCTCCGCCCTCACCCCCTCCCCTCTCCACTCTCCCGCCCCACCCCCCTAACCCCTCTCCTGCCCTTCCCCCCCCATCACGCCCCACCTCCTTCCCCTCCTCACCCTCCGGCCCCATACCCCCCACCCTCCCCCCACTATCCCTCCCCTCTCCCGCGCGCCCCCAAAAAGGGTGGGGGCAGGTGATGCCAGGCCCCGCCGACGGGCCCGAACCGTCGCCACGGCCCCCGTCCTCGCAGTGAGGCCCCAGGCGCCGCCACCCGCAGGGGGCGGAAGGGGAGGGAAGGACGGAAGGACGGAGGGAGGGAGGAAAGGGGGAGGAATGGACAAGAGAGAGGAGGAGGAGGAGGAGGAGGAGGAGGAGGAGGAGGAGGAGGAGGAGGAGGAGGAAGAGGAAAAAGAAGAGGAGGAAGAGGAAAAGGAGGAGGAAGAGGAAAAGGAGGAGGAGGAGCAGGAGGAGGAAGAGGAAAAGGAGGAGGAGGAGGAGGAGGAGGAGGAGGAGGAGGAGGAGGGGAACCGCGTGCGCCCGAATCCGCCCCTCCCTAGGGACAGGCCCTCAGGTTTTCGCGTCGGCGGCCAAACGCGGCCATTTTCAAGCCCGCGATATACGCCGACACCCACAACCTGAACCGGCCATCTCGTCCCCAGCGAGGGGCCACGTCTACACCCACGGCAAGATCCATATCCAGACCCAGATCACTTGCCTGGCACAGGCGGCTCCGTCGACACCGCGCGGCGGCGTCACACAGCGCGAGTATCATCTACTTCGAGCGCACAGCGCCCAACAGCCACCACGACGGCCACCCCAAGCACCAGCCATGGCTGCACCACGGGGATCAACCGCGAGTGGTTCGGGAACTGTGCCCCGCCCTGGAGATCGCCATCGAGCCGCCCTCCAAGTAGAGGACCGAGACCACGAACCACCACACTGGCGATGGGGGCAGGCTTCGAGCGCTGGAGGAAGTAAAATTGGACGCACACGTGGGCCAAGGACCACCCCGACAAGTATTGGAGCCAGACATACAGCAGGAAGGGCAACAACCTCAATGGCAAGGGGGAATGCCATTAAAAACGACTACGAGGCCGACAGCCAGGACCAAAGAACAAGGACAAGAGCAACAAGAGCAAGGGCGAAGCCAAGGCCCAACCCGAGCAGGAAAAGACGCCGAAGAAGAAAGACACGAACCAGGAGTACAACGACCACACCAACAACACGATCAACAACGTCATGCCGATGAGGAAGATCTGCGCCGCCAGGCAGCACCACTGAGAGAAGCCACGGAATGATCCCCAGTTGTGGGAGGAGTGGAAGAAGATCGAACACATGGAAAAGAGGCGCGCGGCAACAGCATTCGCGAAACACAATGCTGGTGAAGTACCAACAACCGAGGAAGTCACGCATATCGCCTTCCCCAAAACTATGACCCTCAACGGCATGCCCTTGGCCCAATATGCAAGGGAGATCAACAACACCGAGAGAACCAGAGAGAATTTCTACGAGCACGCCAAAGCCCGCCAGAAGCAGATACCGATATTCATGAACGTGCTGGAAAACAACATCGAGAAGCTCAACGCTCGACATCGCGGCATCAGCAACGCCAGGGAAGACAGTTACAGCGACACTGAAGCTGATGACGATGAAGCTGACAGACTACAAAAGGAAACATCGCCAAGGAAGACGCCTACACCAGCACCACGAAGGCAAACAATCGCTGGGGAAACGATTGAAGGACAAACCATCGCCCCCCCCCCAGGACGCTGAAGGAGGACAACCAGCGCGCGGCCACCGACCTCGCGGCGAAATGTTACCCGGGCGAAGGACCCAACCATATGCAGTCGTTAATACCGCCGTTGTGGCAGCCTGCTTTCGGTGGAGCTCCCCACGGACACGCAGCGCGGGGCGTCAGCCCGTTTTTTCGAGGCATAGCGGGAGGGCGCGGCGGCTGGGCCTTGAGGAAGGGCTTCTCTGAGGGCGCCCTCGCCCTCGAGAGCCGCGCCCTCCTCCGAGCCCTCGAGGTCGTCGCCGGCGCAAGCGGCGCCCCCGGAGACTCGCCCCGACCCCGCCCGACGGCGCGCCCGCTCCCTGCGCCCCGAAGGGAGACGTTCACGGAAATGCAAAGTCCCGGCGCGCAGTAGGCGCGCGCGCGGCGGCCCCGCGGTCGGCCCCAGACGTCGAAGCGCACGCGAGATGGCTTTTCAGCGAGGCCAGCCCAACCAATCGCAGAGCTAGATATTAGGGCCCGACCGACGACGAAAGCAGCGCCGTTATTATTGTCTTGCGGGGAAGGAAACGTCTGGCGAGCATCGCCGGAAAGCCCCCGAAATCAAACAGCGATGCGAGGACAAGGTCACAAATGACAGTTGGGTTCTTTGCAAGGTCGACGCGGGCCCAGATTTCGACGGCGAGATGAGCGCTGCCGAGGGCCCCGATGTCAATGCCAGCTTAGACGCTGCAAACGAGTTGAATGTGACCGACCTGATTGATATGTCAAGACGAGTCGAATGGCCCGCGCCTCGACATTTTGGCCCAGCTCGGCACCCGATGGGGGCTCGAAGGCTCGCTCGATGACCGACTCTCGCCCGCCGCCGACCCGCCGTCGGCGACTGGCCGCTCCAGTAATCGAGCTGAAGGGCCACCATCCTACCCCCATATATGTTGTATTATCTGTTCGCCCAGCCTTACCATCCCCCATTGCCAAACACATAATAGTGTTATTCCTTTTTCTCAGCAAGCAGAGAATTCGGGGATAGTTCAGGGTTTTGACGTCTTCGAGACTGGGCGATCCAGACTATGCGACGCCTGGCCCTGCAGCGCCCTGTTTTTCACGCGTGTGTTCCGTTTCTCTGCCGAATTTCTTTAGACACATTTGTTGTGCTCAGATAAGTGGAGGACTGTCAGCCACGTGGGAGCGCTCTGCGCGTGATGGTTGCGAATGTCCCTTCCCACATGTGCTCAACTGTCTCCCACCCACCCACCCACCCACCCTGCTGCTCTTGAAGTCTTCGCTGCTGGCTGCTGGGCGCCCCAGTCTCTGCGCCGCCTTGCCCTGCAACGCCCCGGTTTGTGCATGTGTGGTTCGCGTCCTTGCCAAGTGCCTCTGGACAGATTTGCGGCGCTCAGAAAAGCGGAGGACCGTCAGCCACAACCATCCTGGGCGTTTTGGACCGATCATGCGGCGATTCGGGGCTCTTTTCGACCGTCTCGCGGGTCCCTCGGGGCCGTCTTGGACCACTTTGGGGGCGATAAAAGTCATGCGGGGAGATGCGGGGAATCTCAGGGGCTACGCGACACGCCCCACAAGATATGGCAATTTTGGGCCCGGGCCCTTTTTTTCAGAGAATCCTCAGGACTGAGGACTGGGGCTCCAGGGGATCCAACAACGGGCTTGAGGACACTCGAACTCGTGCCTCAAGGGCACGGTGGCAGATCGATACGCGTACCTAAATACATTATATAGGTTGATATGTGTATGCGCGCATGTGTGCCTATATAGATATATACACAACCAAATTACACATCTGCATGTATAACAGTAGTGCGCGTATGTGCGTATTTATATGTCGACTTTTGTTCTCGACTCATGTGCAATGCTGGGGGCCGTTCGGCCATCAGGGGGGGAGATCCGTACACGGCACGCTCGGTTTCTCTCCCGAGTCATCGTTCATTATTTGAGTGTGGTTGTCGATTGTCGGTTCGTGTGGCGTTTCTCTTATGCTTGGCGCGTTTTCTCTCCGCAAGAAGTTTGCCGCCACCATCACCACACGAATGAGGTTTATAGCCAGAATCGGCGCCATTTTTATCATAGCATTGCCAACATCCGTTGCATTCTGCTCAGGCGCTGCAGGTTGTGAGCATTTGCTGTACAGGCTTCGTTTGGCTGCTATGAT